ATATATATATATATATATTACACCTATTCCAAAATAACGATATTCGATTTCAAATGTATAGGCCTATAACCCTAATTGTCATGTCATGTGATTTGTTTGTTAATGTTGACATTAAATACTGTATACGAATCAGTTGCTGATCCAGGAATTCGAAATAGAGGGGGCCCAGAAAATCTAGATTCCAGACCTCAGTCCTAACCAAAATTTGGCATTTTTATTCTAAAATTTAATTTAATTTTCTTTTTCCTCTTATCTATTTTATTTGACAAAATTAGGTGGTGGAAGGAATGGGCTGGTAATAGGCCTATAACAGAATTGTTTATTGCAAACTTTGGTGCTGTAGACACTGTTGGGTTTTAGTAAGTAATCAAAATATAATTTATACAATACAAAAATAAGTATCTTTTTTATCCTTTGGGAACCACCAGTCAGTGATTTGTTTCTTTAACTGGTAATTTTGTCGGGTTGACAAGAAACGGTCATTTTATTTTTATTCGTATGTGTGTAGCATATCTAGGAATATTCACAGGAGGGGAGTGGGGTGATATTGTCGCGAAAGTAAAGTGGAGGGGGTGATAGCTGGCAAATTAAGGTCATTTCTACTTGAGCGTAATTATTTTGCTCAGTAAATTTCACATAGAAGCACCAGGGAGACATGAGCAATACTTGAGAGTTGTACGGTAAGAGTAAGAGCCTTCCCTAGAGATCGTATCCTTCCCACGTGTAGCACGCCCTCCCTTTAGTAGATACGCCACCATTGTTCATGTGTTTGTTCTCAATTGTTTTCTTGATGACAAAATAAAATGAAAAAAAATAAAGCTAAATTAATATTCCACAGTAGTGATTACAATAAGGATAACACTGATAATACATTTCATAGACCTTTTAATTCCCCAGCGATCCAGCTATTAATCAAACAACCAATAGGCTGATCAACCACAAAATATAGCATGATAGGCCTACAACAATTAGACAAATTATTAAATTTTAATCGTTTTTTTACACAATATTTTACATTTTCATTGTTACTTTATTGGTCAGGAATTTTTTAACTTACTTCAATTTTACCTTATAAGTTTTTAACCAAAAATGTTTATTTAATATTATTGTTACATTTCATGATGATGATGAAAGCATTCAGTGTTCACAATTAAGAGTTCTGCTTGCCATGCTCATATTCTTTAATGAATATCAATATCCATTGCCCAACATAGTATACTATCTTATGCAAAACACTCAGTAACTTCTATAATTATTTCTGTCCAACTATCTAAAAAATTTAATAATTATAGACCATTCAATCATATACATGCATTTTATTGGAGATATTCTAATTATAGACACTTGGTAAAAAATCATTTGACAAAACTATTGCACATATGGTACTCTATTCTATAACACACACACACATGATACAAATCTATTCATTACTGTAAATGCTTGAATAAGCACTGCGGTGCTTATAACATTCTTGGAGGCTTCAGTGCAGTGCTTATTTGAGAGGGGTGCTTATAAAAAATACTAGTGTTCCCATGTTTATGTCTATCTCACATACTTTGGTAGGCCTATCATAGATCCTACGTCATCGTAAATAAATATTTATAAAGAAATGCTTGTATCTTCATTGTGTTATTTATGGTATTCATACACTGTATTTAAAACCTGTTTCTCAAAGTGTTTAATTACACACATGGTAATTATATTCGCGATTAAGCGCTGCGTCACTGATTCGAGAGCGGCGCTCATTTGAGCATTTACGGTATCTTCAAGGCAGCGTTATTGAGAGACTAATTCAAAGCTTCAATGTAGCACAAATCTTTCAAAATGTCAGCCTATTTTCAAAATATAACTTTAAAATTATTTACAAATACTATATCATAGATAGAGTTTTAATGTCCAAGTGAAGTAAACCAAACATACAAACATTATTAATGGTAGAGTCAAACTCGCTATTCATAAGATTCGTTTTTTAAAAACAGTTTGCAATTCATAACATTAGCTTACCCTATAACAGAAGTCACCAGTCCAATTTTATATATGCTGTATTCATTAAAAAAAACTTTCCCCAACCCCTGCTAACCATTAAGTTCACTAGTCATAATCAAGGGAAAAGTACTAAATCAAAAATGTATATCATAAGTTTAAAATAAGAAAAAAAAACGTTTGGTTTTTTTATATTGTGATTAGTGAACTCATTTATTTTTCATTGACTTATAGTGAAACATTCTTTTTATGACTTTAACGAGCATTTTAATTATGACTACTGAACCTTAGAACAATCAATAATAATACTAGCATAGCTGATGGATAGTGAATCTTATTAATGTTTCAATTTAGCAGTGTTCCCCAAAGTTTTAATAGCAACAACCCAGTTAATAAACTCATACAAGAGGCACAAACTATTGTCATCTTGTACATCGCTGATCTATTCTGCAGCATTTTCCATACAAGGTTTAAAAAAATGTAAATATATTTATCCTCTCACAGAGTTGCTTTACTTCTTCACTTGCTTAAATTGAATATTTTTCGTTTTGTAATTCATAAATCTTGTAGTCGCAATGGCCTTTTAAAGGTTCTATTCAATTTCTTTCACATAGAAAGAACACTTGGCACTTACAGGATGGAATGATGCTTTCCAATTCTCTTTATGAGGCTTAGGGAATGGAGTTGTTTTTTACACATGAGAAAAAAAAAGTTTGAACAGAGGGCATTTGTCTAGTGAATGGTTGTTACTTAAAATGTGATTAAGTTCTATCTGTTTAGCATTCTTGGCCCTTTGTTCCTGAAGCTGAATAAACAAAAAACACTTTCCACGGTCCATTTTCCTCTCTTCCACACTTTGTTTCCCTGCTTTTTATTCTTTCTCATATCAATGTTTTTGAATCCCCTTTCTAGAAAAGGTCCAAATTCCTCATTGGTGGTGGTTTGCTGACATTCCTTTTTACAAACACACCCCCTGTGGCAGCTGATGATGGTCTTGTCTTCTTCTTATTCTTCTTTTTGGGCTTCACCTCTTCCTCACTCTACCAAAAAAAACGAAAAAAAAAAACCCTATCATTTACCATCATTTACTGATAGCCTTTATTAGTATTAATCACAGTCACTTTCCATCTTGATATGAACCGAACTGCAGGTTCTCTGAAATTCTGTTACATATTTTGTACCATTCCTAATGAAATAACTTACATTTTAAAATTTCCTATTTTTAAAATTTGTTAAAATTTTAAAATGTTATGCTTAAAAACATACAATTTTGAATTTGCCTATTTCTACGGTAAGTTTGCTTTTACCAAATTGATGTTTTTAAAATGCAGTACCGGTAGTACATCACAATAATAATAAAAACACCAACACCTATACTATTACTACCATCATAAATAACAATTTCAATATCAATAAAAATGTCAATAAAATAATAAATGTATATTGCTTGTTTGCGTTCTTGGTATTTGATGAAATATTGCAATAAATGCCACTTTAATAAAAGCAACAATAGCAAAAGGCAGGTGTTGCTGGGCCAACAAAGTGTCATACATCTTCTACTGTCAAGTCAGAAGTGTGCCCTCTATGGAGCCATAGCAACAATTCTTAAAAAATTATTGGTTTTTGCTTAATATACCATGCAACCATGGTGGATATAATGCTATGTATGTATAGTTAGTGCTTTTTACAATAACTATAGTAAACAATACATAATGCATTTAATTTAAGTAGACCTACTTACCACTACACCTGAGGACTTCTCAAGCTGAGCGTTCAGATGTTGTATTTCAGCCCGGCACTCATCCAGCTTCGATTCGAGTTTTTCACGTCGCAGACGTTCATACTCCAGCTGCGACTCCAATTCTTTGATTGTCCTGTCAATAAATCAATCAACCAATCAATTAAAATTAATATAAAAATCAATAGAATATGCATTTGTGATTTAATTTGTTTTCATTGGTATTCCTAATCCATCTGTGACTGTGCTCACCACAAATTAAAAATGAAAAAAAAACAAAAACAAAAACAAAAAATTAAAAAAAACAACTTAAAAAAAAGTGAAAATATAGAGCATAATGACTTTATATCGCAAATAAAGAGACTCAATAAATATAATAACTAAAGTAGACAATATAAGTAATTTATTTTATAAAAAAAGTATTCTTTTAGAAGCAAGACATGTCAATGAAGAATTTCAAACGGAAAGCAAACACGTAAAGTTGGATATAAATTATTTTTTTCAATTTGTAATATAATTTAGAGTGAATTACTATTAATTAACATTGCTGGGTAATATCAAAATTATATTCTCTTATAATTTTTTAATGTAAAACTAAATATTGAATTCGGACAGCAATTCAAGCAATACAAATAAGCATACAAATGACTGTGTGATGCGGTCAGTAAAGGCAGGGTGCTGTCTCTCAGATACTGAGTTCTTTCATACTGAGTGCATGTTATTTAATGCTCTAAGGTGCATTGAAAAATTGTTTGTAAAGCTAATTGGAATTTTACAGTTGCCACAAATTTGGATTAAAATGACAGATATAGAGTAGGAATCTGGACTCACGATCCCTATTAATATTCCTATTTTCACTAATAATATAAATTCTGAAATGATGCTACACCCCAGCAGTAGTTACTATTTAGGAAAATTCTGGATGCACCACTGCACACTGTGACTATATACTGTACATGTAGCAGAACATTTATGTATACATTAATGATATTAATATTACCTGTGAGGTGGTAAGCTTCGTGTTGGGAATAAAAAACATGTAGGTCAAAACATTTTTTAGGTGTGATTACTGCTCAACAAAAACTGTATCACAACACTGACACGACGTGATGCATTCATCATGTAACAGTACACTTGCTCATGGATGACATTATGCATCAAGTAACACTGTACATGCATTGCTGATGATGTCATGCATTTATCACGCCACAATGTATTTGCTCATTGATGACATCATGCATCAATTAACACTGTACATTGAATTGACACATACTTAACCGCATTTGCATTCACTGATAACATCATACATTCATCAATACTGCACTTGCATTCAATTATGACATCACACATTCATCTTATAACACTGTATTTGCATTCAGTGATGACATCATACATTCATCAATACTGCACTTGCATTCAATTATGACATCACACATTCATCTTATAACACTGTATTTGCATTCAGTGATGACATCATACATTCATCAATACTGCACATGCATTCAATTATGACATCACACATTCATCTTACAACACTGTATTTGCATTCAGTGATGACATCATACATTCATCAATACTGCACTTGCATTCAATTATGACATCACACATTCATCTTATAACACTGTATTTGCATTCAGTGATGACATCATACATTCATCAATACTGCACTTGCATTCAATTATGACATCACACATTCATCTTACAACACTGTATTTGCATTCAGTGATAACATCATACATTCATCAATACTGCACTTGCATTCAATTATGACATCACACATTCATCTTTTAACACTGTATTTGCATTCAGTGATGACATCATACATTCATCAATACTGCACTTGCATTCAATTATGACATCACACATTCATCTTATAACACTGTATTTGCATTCAGTGATGACATCATACATTCATCAATACTGCACTTGCATCCAATTATGACATCACACATTCATCTTATAACACTGTATTTGCATTCAGTGATGACATCATACATTCATCCATACTGCACTTGCATTCAATTATGACATCACACATTCATCTTATAACACTGTATTTGCATTCAGTGATGACATCATACATTCATCAATACTGCAATTGCATTCAATAATTTCATTGCTTTAATCACTTCTCTTACATTGACTGACATCATCACCACATACCTGCACTGACTAATGACATCATACAGACACATACAATGACAGGAAGTAATACCTTTCAGTTTCCTTCTCTCTAAGTAGCAGTTCGCGATCCTCCTCCAGTTGGCCACCAAGCTGATTGTAATTCTTCTTTGCAATTACCAGTAAACGTTCTAATTCTTCAATTCTTTTCAATGCTCTTCCTTAGGAGTTACAAAAAAATCATGCTATTACAGTGGTACTGTATTAAATCAAATTTTCTGTGTAAATTGCATTCCTAATACATCTAAAAACACATATCTGTTTAGTACTGTAGGGTGTAGTCAAAACCTCCAGTGAAATCTCTCAATCACCCTGCCAAATTTATGGCAGGGTGATTGTGTGAAAGGCTTCTACTGTATATACCTCCCAGCCTGGTTTAAGGCAGACTAAGCCACATACCCACTTTCCCTAAACCCAAGTCGAGCTCTCACCACTATTGTCTTGCTCGGATGTACGAACAATTTACTGTTTTGTGACCAAAACTATGAATTTATGATGGGACTTACGGTGAATCCTCTTAATAAATAGTACCTCGTTAATTTGGGGTGGAACCAAAAGTACTGTACAGCTTTATTATGTACATGTGTGTAGCAATGAGGAAAACCATCAGCAGTGACTTTGATGCTACAGTTTCTCACCTCTTCCCTCTTGTTTCTTGGCTTTGCTAAGTTTCATGCTGCTACCCTCATTGCCGTGGTCTGCTGCTCTACGTGCCAACTTCTCTTCCCCGCCATCGTCAGCATCATCACCATCAGCAGCACCTGGATCTTCATCAGAATCTTTAACAAGTGAATATTTATTTTTTTTAAATATTAAATAAAATAGTAAGGATAGTAAAGGAAGAAAAATTGTAAACAAATTGTAAGCAACAAATATAATCAGTAAACAAATATAAATATCTACATAGGAGTAACACATAAAGTTATGTACAAATTAGTAAAGTAGTGAAAAATACAATCGTAAATTACTGTAAGTAAAAAAAACAATAAAACGAAAAGAAATGATTATAAAGTACCACACTATATGAAGTAGTAAAACTTATAAACAAAACAGTCCACACAATGATTGTAAACCATTGGTAAATATATCAGGGGTGTATTAAAACAAATTAGTAAACACATTAAAAAAAGTAGTAGTTATTTAGTAAAAAATACCTGAACCATCTCCCTTCAATAGTTTGACACATGCCAGTTGAGCAAAGCGGCTAGCAACATCTGCTGGTGTCTCACCTCCGCTATTTTGAATGTGAACTATTCAATCAAGAAACAAAAAAGCTACAATTGTCTGAGGAAAATATAACCTTTAATTTAACATTAATGTACGTTGAAACTTGAGGGCTTAAATCTCTGGTTCTTGATTAATTTTTTGAAGATCCAAATTTGGCCCATGGCCACCTATGAAGAGCCAGGGGCATAAATGTAAATCAAATGCATTGAAAAGATATTAATTAGTTCTTACCATTTGCACCCATCTCAACGAGCCACTGCAAACACTGTAGATGACCATTCCCAGCAGCTGCAAATATACAAAGAATAACTAGAAAGAGGTACATAGTTTTTCATACATTAAACATAGCCGCATCACACACCTACCCCAATCCACTTAAACGACTACAAAAAAGGACTTAAGACCTCTGCATACCCAACCAACATTAAACACAAACACACCTGCGAATCTCCAAAAACACAACCCAATGAAAGCGACACTCAACCGCACCCACTACAACAATTAATACAAATCAAGGTCGCTCTCTTCCTATGGCGACCATGCAATGCTTTATTGTACACTTAGCACTCTAGTACCTCTATGATATTAAATGGAAATAATATATTGAAAAGTTACTGTATTAAGGGATACAAATACAAATTACATAAATAAGGGAGTTGAGATTAATATATAGTTAACAATTAGTCATACTAAAACCCATAATCAATTAAACCTTCACTATCAACGCAGAAATACTTACCTCTATGAGCAGGGGTGGAGCCTTTATCATCCCGCTCATTAATATTCACAACTCCTTGCTCAATTAGCATACGCAGGTGGCTCACATCACCCTGTGCAGCTGCCATGTGAGCGGGAAAGGCAAGATCTGAAAAAATAAATTCACAAAACTATTTTAAAACATGACCACATGGCTTTAAGTGACCAATTATCAATGTGGTAAGGAGAGCTCTGAAACTATGGTCTATAGTATTCACCAAAACTTAATGGCGAAATTGAATGGGGTGAGGAGGGAGGAAATACAAAAAAAGGTCGGAAATACTAATTACTAAATTTAAAAACATTATTCAATGCAATTATTTGCTTTATGAGCCATCATTGGATAATATTACCTACATGAACTACAGTACATATACATTAAATTCAACGACACTGAATATGCTTTGCTCTTCTTAGATTGAAGGACAACTTCATATATTTGAAGTGACAGGGGCTCTGTGATGGACCAGTACACCAGAGTAAACCCCTACTCGTCTCCAAAGATGTACTGGGTTCTTTATAGTGCACATGAACAACTGTGTACACTGGGCCTACAGTTGATAGTCCTTATTCGAGAAGACTTGTTCCACCACCATAGGTAAGCGTGCTGCTCCTATGTGCTATAGGTTGCAGTGCTCCTGCCAGAACCATCTGGCCATTTGACTCGCCTAAATAACCAGAAAAACTGCACAAGCATGGAATCTGCATTTAGGGAAGCAGGGTCAATACTTAAGGGAAAGGACATTATTAAAAGATTAAAATAATTTAATGATAAGTAAAAGATTATTAAAATTTAAAACCAGAAAACAAAATCTCAAGGCTTACTTTCCTGGTCTTCAGGATGATCACGTTCCCATTCTAAAAATAACCCAAAAGCAATTAAAAAGAAATACAATCTATATATATCATCACATATCCACATCACTATTAGTTGCCACACAGATAAATCTTTATTTATATATGTTTACAGTGGCGTATCCATGATTTTGAAAAAAGGGGGAAGTGGGGTGCTGAATAGAAATGAATGCATCCATTAAACTTTAGCAAAGGCACAAACATAGGGACAGAGCATATTAATGACTATGACTGACCATAAATTGTTAGCATCTAAATTATATTTTATCATCTATTTCCATTAAATTTAATATTATTTTTTTCATTTGACCAAAGAAAGGAGGGGGTGCTCAGGCACACTGAAAACTCCCTCTGATTATGCCACTGGTTTATTATATTGATTTATTTCAACCATATTTAATGAGAGTAAACTATTCATCAAATACTGATCATTTCCTCTTTCTTTCCTCTAATAATTTAGAGACAGAAACATTAAGTTGTTAGGTGAGACTTTTAATGACATAGATATTTTGGGAGAAATACATTGTTAAATAAGAAACAGTTTGCTAACAAGGTAAAAACCATCTAACCATAATATGTCTTTAATTGAAATTATTTATCTATAATAATTATACAAAATCTAATATCTGTTAGTATCAATAGTTTTATATGATTATTAAAATATATTTGGTTGCTTTCGAGAGGTGAATCGCACCTTCTTAAACACTATTAAATATATAAACTTTTATGATCAGTGTGTTGATATTGGATATGCAGCATCAAACTATTGGTAATAAATAGGAAATAAAATGGTTTACCCACCTACAGCATTGATATAATCAACACAAGCCTGTTTGTAGAACTGCTGGGCAAGGGTTTTGGGTGTTTCTCCATTGTCGTTTCTTGCTCCTAGTGTTTGGCTGATGCTGGAACCGCTGCTTACCAAAAACTTGAAGCATGGCAAATGACCTTCTGTTGCGGCCAAGTGAGCTTCAAGTTAAAAACAAAAAAATTAACCATAGAAAAAAAAAATAAAAAAACACAAAATCTTGGAGCCAATAATTTGTTACATACAAAAATACAGGCCTTCAAATTCAGGATCAAGTTACAGGATTTTCTTTATATCCAAAAAGTCTCTTGAGAATGATTTCATGTGGGAATACAAATGATGATGCAAAAAGGGTAGGTAAATTGTGCACTGAAGTTGCAACAAAAATGTACTTCCTATGAAATTTGTTGGGTCGTCAAAATAAATTTTTTCACACAAATGTTTGACCGAAATGGCAACCATTGCGGACCTCTGGGTCAAATTGAGACTGCTATTTGGTTTTCAGCTGAAAACTACCCCACGAGGAACGGTTCACTGGCATTCTAAACATGGTATACTGGGGCGGATACAGGGGGTGCAGACGGTGCGATCACACCCCCTAAATTGTATAAGAAAAAAAATTGTATTGTATTGTTGATATAAATTACCGGTAAGATTTTTAAGGTATGAGAATGCTACTTCCGGGTAACTAGAAGTCGATATTCTTAAACCTTTTTTTGCACCTTCACCAACCATGGTGGGGCTGAGGTGGTGTGCACTCTCATGCACCTCCAACTGCCAAATCCTGCATCCTCCCCTGGTATTAGAACCATTTTTCGGAATGTCAAAATGAATGGCTCTATTTTATGCTTTTACTGCCACAAAGTTCTTAAGGATGGTTCTTCAGTAGAAATACACACTATGTATCTGCTAAGTTGTATCAATAGGCCTCTACCCTATGAATTGTGAAAAGTTATTGGCATACCTGGAGTGTTGCCATTATTATCAACCTCATCAGTCCTTGCTCCCCACTTGACGAGTAACTGGAGGCAACCAAGCCGTCCATGGTAGCAGGCAACGTGTACTGCAGTCCAACCATTCAAGTCCTTAGCATCAAGATCCTGTTGGCAAATTGACATATACCTACCAAATTTGACACTATACAAAGTTGATTTGTTTGTAATGATGATGATGATGAAGAAGATGATGATGGTGATGATGATTATGAGAATAATCTAAACAGTCAAAGAAGCACAGCTTTCCTTTCTAGTCAAGTAGACTGTAAAATTACTACCCAAAAAACTGAGCAAAAACCAATTTTTGAAAATATAACTATGAATTTCTCAATCTGTGAAGAAAGTTTATCAAATTTTATTCATGGATTTAAAAAAATCAGATATAATAGTTAATACTAAATATATGTTTGGTTTGTAGAAAGCTGGGCACACACTGCAGCGATGGTTATCGTCCGACATTATTCTAAAAATGCAATGCAATTAGGTGCACACAACTGACTTCAACTGCCACTGAAGATCAACAGACGGCATTATTCGAGGAGATGGGTTCATCCGCCAAAGGTCATACGAACAGGCCGATGCTGTGTGTGCCCAGCTTTACAAACCAGACAGAACGACAAATAAGCAAAATTGTATGCGCCACATACCGTGCCTGCTCGCAGTATTGTGTTTAATGTGTATGAGTTTCCATGAGCCGATGCCAAGTGGGCAGGAGTACTCCCTCTGCGATCTGTACAGCTCATATTTCCACCATTAGCTGACAAAGCCTAAATTTATATTTAAAAAAAAGAATTTTCAAAACCCTTTATCAGTGGATAGTGGTAGTGGCCAATTTAACAACTAAATTAATAAGCCTCCCGTCCCCTCACCTCCTCTGACTATCATAGCCGGACCATTAGCAAAATGCTTCCAACAGCTATGTTTTTGTAAGTGTTGCACTAACAATGACATAGCTTTGTGAAAACATAAAGTGTGGCTATATGTACACTGAAATGCCATTTGTAGACTATTTTTAATGAGTGTAGTTAATTGTGAATGGTGTGTGGTTATTGAGAATGAGTGTTTTAATGAGTGTAGTTATGTGTGAATTAGTGTGTGGTTACTGTGAATGAGTATGGTTTTTTAATGAGTGTGGTTATGTGTGAAAGAGTGAAGCTTTTCTAGAATGAGGATGTTTATGTGTAATTGAGAGTAGTTATGTATTTGTGAGGGTAACTATGTGTATATCTAGTCCACATTTCAAGCGCCCTGAGCATCTTACATTAGATGGATTTGTGCGCTATATAAAACTACACTATTATTATTATTATACGGTATGTCTTGAATGAGTGTGGTTATGTTTGAATTAGTGTGTGGTTATTATGAATGAGTCTGGCTATCTATTTAACATTGTGGCTATGTGTGATACAATGTGTGTGGCACTGATGTGTGAATCGGTTTGGTGTAAATAGTATGATTTTGTCAGCATGTGAATGTACAGTATGTGTAAGTGGTTGTGGTTTTACATGATTGAGATTGGTATGAATGAGTGTTGATTCGTGAATGAGTTGGTCAAATGTGGATACCTGAATACAGGGTTCCTGTCCTCGAATGGCAGCTATGTGTGATGGAGTCCAGCCTTGGGGTGTCGTAACATTCACATCACCACCATGCCATAGTAACCAATGTAAACACTACATCAAACAAAAGAATAAACAGATCAGTAGTGATGTTGGTAGTCTATGAGTGAGATACTTACCTGGATAAACCGATAAATACCTAAGTTTCCTTTGGAACTTACCTCTCAAGCATATAAGAAAAATAATGGACTCGTCCTAGCTTGCCTATATACTGTACGCCGTGCGTGAATGAACAATATCCTCGTTTACTTCGAGTCTATAACAGATCTTGGCGAGGGAGGAGGGAGGGCGTTTATCGAGGTATCCTGGTGTGCTATCAAAAACAAATCACGCAGCTCTGTCTGCAGAACCACGAAGAAAACACACTTCTAACCATAGAGTAGGTAAGCTTTCTTTCAATTCATCTATATTGCTCTGCGGCGAGAAACGAGGATATTGTTCATTCAGGCAGGGCATACAGTATATAGGCGAGCTAGGATGAGTTCATTAATTTTCTTTTATGCTCGAGAGGTAAGTTCCAAAGGAACCTTAGGCATTTATCAGTTTATCCAGGTAAGTATTCACAAATTAGACATTATATACAGTAAACTAAGCACTTTTAAATATAAAAAGTCATGTATAAAATTCAAAATACAAAGAGAAAATTACAAATGAAGAAAACAGAATGAAGCATTATAAAAATTCAAAAATATACTAATATTACAAATGCAATGATAGAATCACTCACCTCCAAACTACCTGCATGGCATGCCCAGTGGATTGGTGTGAACTTATCTTTTGTATTCTCTACTTCATTTATACTCGCTCCTCGTTTTACCATTGCTTCTAGTTCCAACACGTCTCCATGACGGACTGCCTCATGTACACTGGCCAACTTAACTCCAACTGATGGAAAGAAAATGCCACATAAATATATATGACTGAATTATTTAACCCTTAGATCATCTGAAAAGTTTGTTTTGAGTGCTATCACAAGGCTTTTGATTGCATGACAATGTGCAATGAATTCACACATTCTGACTGCCCTTTGTTCCAGCACAATGTAGATTCTGGGCAAACAGCCGTCCCAGAATTAAGAAGACAATGAGAACTCAACATTGTAGTAGAGTCATAAAAAAAACTTAACTTCTGTAACAAAGGTTGCTGATGGTTAGAATAGTATTAAGGGGGTAATGCCTAGCACTCACTGTGTCATACTACCGTCGCAAGACAAATCCCTGTAAACGAAAGACGACGAAATGCCTCTTGCTGATTGTTCATAGCAGGTTGAATGGATCGTCATTAAAAATTATCAGTTGCGTGCGTCGTCATATTGCATTCTGCATAGAATCATGTTGGCCGACAACTGTCATGCACAGCGAAACGTGCCCTGCTTAATGTGTTACGGGCAGGAAAAGGTGATTGTTTTGGTTAAGTTATCTTATTGTTCATATAGCCTAGGCCTAGGGCTTATATTATTATGCTGACAATTGAAATAAATACAGACAGGTATTCACTATCCTTCTTATTCCTTTGTATATCTCAGATTTTATCAGATGAGACATCGGTTAATGATTACGACATGTTGACCAGTGTGCCTAGCGAGACCATCAGTTAGTAAGCAGGCTTGGCCTAGTGCGTAGGCCTCCTTTCTACATGCCTGCCCATGACCAAAGCTAAGCCGTCGACACCAGGATGGAGAACCAGTGGTGTCAGTACCCAAAAGAAAGTCTCTCAATCACGATTGATGGCGTTACCAAGGTTCGGCCTAGGCCTACAACAATCGATCGTTTACCTTGGCAACACACGATTAAGGAAGTGTAAGCCTGTATAATTTACTGGCAAAAATCAGTAGACAAGAACATAGGCCTAGTTGACACATTCATAAGAAAACATACGAAATCTCTACTAACCAGGCATTTTTAATCGAAAATGATGCAAACACCGCAACCGCCTTCGATTCCGTCAGAAAATAATCCAATAAATAATTCGAGCGATGCTAGGTCGAGCGCATTCTAATTCGAGCGGATGCCAGTGTTCTGTTGGAAATTGAACGAGTCTCGAGCGAATTCTCTTCCTAGGCGACGCACTTTACAATCAATCAATCAATCAATCAATCAATCAATCAATCAATCAATCAATCAACAAATCGATCGATCAATCAATCAATCAATCAATCAATCAATCAATCAATCAATCAATTAATCAATCAATTGGTCAGTCGGTCAGTCAGTCTGAGTCAATCAAGTTCAAGTTCAAGTAAAATTTATTGGCCAATAAAAAAAATTACAAAACATTTACAATAAATCGGAAACAAAAAAATACACACAAAAGTAACAGGAAGATGGCCAACAGACTACATAAAGGCCAAAAGCCCTGTCATCGTAGCCCTTTTTGACATAATGAATAATGTATAATGTAACTAAATATTGTATTTTTAGAAAAGTTTCTATAATATTTTGAATAAATAATAAGTGATGTTATCCGTGCGGGTATCCGTGCAGTGCTCTTCCGGTTATTGTGTGTTTAATCTCATGGTTCTAAAGATTACATTCTCATGGGTTAAAATGAAGGCTCAACCTTATGTTGAGTTAGTTTGATATTATTTATAATTTTCAGGGGCGGATCTAGGTTCACATTTAGGGGGTGGGGTCAGACTTTTTTTCATAAAAACGCCCAAAAAAAGGGGATCCGGGGGTCCTCCCCCGGGAAAATTCTGATTCTTAGATGGCGGTAAGTGAGCTTTCCAGACTTCTGAGGTGTCTTTTAATGACTTTTAAGTTCTTCAAAATTCAAGGTTTTCCCCCTCTTGAAAACGGTCAGGTTAAACTTTCTTATTCTTTATTTTTTCCATGAATGGATAACCCCAAAGAGGAAGGGGGATCCGGGGGTCCTCCGCCGGGAAAATTTTGATTCTTAGATGGCGGAAAGTGAGCTTTCCAGACTTCTGAGGTCTTTTAATGACATTTAACTTCCTCAAAATTCATGGTTTTCCCCTCTTGAAAACTGTCAGGTTAAACTTTCTTATTCTTATTACAGTAAATAGGCCTATTTATGTGTGTATAGGCCTATATACGTACATAAAAAAAATGAGTTGCTTACGTATTCTTTTTTCCATGAATGGATTACCCCAAAGAGGAAGGGGGATCCGGGGTGCTCCCTCGGGAAAATTATCACTAGATGACAGGAAATAAGCTTTCCGCCTTTTGAGGTGTCTTTTAATGACTTTTAAGGTTTTCCCCTCTTGAGAAAGGTCAGGTAAATTTTCTCATTCTTATTACAGTAAATAGGCCTATTTATGTGTGTATACGTACATTTAAAAAAAAATTGAGGTGCTTACGTATTTTTTTTTTCTTGAATGGGGGGGGGGGGGCCCAAAGGGGAAGGGAGTCCGGGGGTCTTCCCCGGGAAAAAATGAGCTTTCCCGACTTCTGAGGTACGTGTCTTTTAATGACTTTTAAGGTTTTCCTCCGCTTGAAAACGGTCAGGTAAACTTATTCATTCTTATTGCTGTAAATACTAGTAGAATGTGTGCACAGTATGTGAGGTGCCGGTACACACATAGGCCTATTTTCCCCCCAAAAAAAAGGGGGGTCTGGACCCCCTGACCTCCCTCAGATCCGCCAATGATTTTGTTGTTAAATTTTGCCTAGTTTTATATATTCAGTTCATGTGTATTTTAATGAATATTACAGTTTATTTATATATAACAGGAAGGTACAATTCCTGTTGATTGCCAATCGGTGTTTATGGCAAGATAAATTAGTATTGGCTCCGGTATTTGTGTGCACCTGTATGTTATAATATGAATACTTATTGTTGATCATTTTGATTGTTTTGAATTACTGTATTTTGTTAATGATTTTAGTAAATCGGAAATTAACGGAAACATGCCCGTCCTATTGAAGAAATAATGGAAATTTTAAAAGAAGAGAACCGTATTTGCATTTAAAGCTTTATTGCTAATACATTTATTAAAGGAGCGCAGAATGTCAGATACTCAAAGGATATCTCCACAAGGTTGGACTAGGAAGTTGACTGAAGAGGGTGCTGCTTATCAACAAGAACCCGGCCCCCCTTTCGGAAGGTAAAAAAAAATGAAAAAAGAAAGAAAAAGAAAAAATGATAGCCCACAACGCCTCAAATGTTATTTTCGGGCGTCTAGAACACAAAAAGTTCGCGGGGGCATGCCCCCGGACCCCCCAGGACATTGTTGTCTCGATCGGCCCAAATTTTGTCTCGATCGGCCCAAATTTCGGCCCCCCCCCCCTTTTGGACATCTCTGGATCCGCCCCTGGTTAAACTCGAACTCGAGCAGTTTAACCATAATTATGGCTTGATAATCTCAAATGTAGGATTGTTGAACGTTTGTTTGTTCCTAAACGTGAAGCTCAATTGTCACTAAAGGGGGAAGTCAAGATTATCAGTTCGTTCATCTGTAGCAGCGTCTATACTAAAGGAAGAGCAAACAAGGGCAGAGTTGTTGGCGAGAGGCACTGAAACAAAAAATTGTTGGAGCAAGAAGAATTTAGACTTAAACAATTGAAAAGGAGCAGGGAAATGGATGTAGCCAACTCCAGATGTAAAGTGTTGGAGGAGTTTGGAAGTGGCGGATATGGTAGTAGTTTCTGAATTTGAATTGGAGTCTGCCGAAGGGTTGGTTGATAATGCCTACCGTCTTCATGTTACTGATATTCCATTTTCTGAAGAAATTAATGTTCCACCTGTTGCCCCCAAGAATTGAACTAGCTGCTGCTCCACAAGTTATCCAACCTGTTGTTGTACATGTCAAAACGTTTGCTACTCGCATTTGTAATAACGCATTTGTAATAACGCTGAAAACATCTATATTATTTGGATCAATTTACAGTGGTAAAGCAAACAGGCTGTCTCTTATACACATCTAGATGTGTATAAGAGACAGGTATGTGAGGTGCCGGTACACACATAGGCCTATTTTTCCCCCAAAAAAAGGGGGGTCTGGACCCCCTGACCTCCCTCAGATCCGCCAATGATTTTGTTGTTAAATTTTGCCTAGTTTTATATATTCAGTTCATGTGTATTTTAATGATTCAAAGATTCAAAGTATCGCAGTAGCGGCTCTGCTGACATTTCCCGCTGTCCAGTAATGGCTTCCATTGCTTCTGGCCACGGCTTGCTTCGTCCAAGCGCCAACATATTACTGAAAGTGTGAAATTCAAAGTAAACCATGAAACTATTATTACCTTTACGGCAAAAAAGTGTGTAAAACAAAAGGTTAACTTGCGAATTATCATTACCCAAGAAGTTGTCCGGCTTCTTTCGATTCATAGAAATCACATTTATATAACGGTCCTGTATGATTGGCTGCATTGCACATCGCCTCGTAAAATTGAAACTGG